ATATGGATAACATAAACTAGTAAAAACACATTAGTAAATATTTATTTTAATAAAAAATTACTTACGTCATTTTACTTTTTAACCATGAACCACAAAACTGAAAGAGGTGGTTGTAATTGTTACAGCACAAATGTGTGTCAGTGCAAGTAAAACTAGCAAAAACATTTAATCAGATGATATTAATGTACATCCTGAGTTCACAAAATGTAATTGTTTGTTGCAAATAGGAGTACCTGAAAGAAGAAGGAGATCTGAGCCCCGAAGCATTGAGAATGATTGGAGAGCTGCTCAACGAACAGAGTCTTATGTACACTGCACTTAGTGAGATGATCTATGACCAAACTGACATCAGTGACAGCACCAAGTAGGGCCTGACAACTCCTCAAACTTTCTTCATGTTTACATTTATGTGTAAAAACATAATTAAAATGTCTTTATTATCACCCAAGTGGAGCTTAAACAAAATTAAGAGTGCTTCTCTACCATTTGGTCACAAAAAGAGACAGTCGCACACATGATTAATGCAAGTAAAAACTAATGTAATAATATATAATAGCTTAAATGTGCTTTTTAATCATTTGAGCCATTTAACATAGCAGCAAAGGCTTCAAATATAAAATATATGTTATGTGTTTGCAAACAGCAACTGCAATTTTTCACGTCTTTATGTAGAATAAAAAAAAGTATCTATGAGTTTTCAGTGCATGCAAGCATTATCAATAAACAATGGTAACATCCAGAAAACACGGAGCAGTTAAACAGTCATTTGGCACGACTTGTTTTTCATATATCCTGCTTTTTTTACGTAAGCGCTTCACTATGTTTATCATGAGGGCCTTACCTTTGCCGCAAGGTATGGAGCACTTATCATCACGAAGCACGACACCATAGCATTGTGATGACTGAACTTGTTCGAACATGCAGCAGAAGAGATGCAAACATTTAATGTGATCCAACAGCCACACACACGCAATAAAGTTTGCTTCTGCCTGCTCTGAGCAGTTCATTAGAACCTAAAAATGGAATTGTAGAAACTGTACATGTAAATAATTTCCTACAGATATTAACTGCAATAATTATAAAATGTTATTTTCATGTCTCTTTTTTTATAGGTACTTTGAAGTTGTTGGTGGGTCTGATCTTCTCCCCAAAGCTTTTCTTACTGTCCTTGATATCCCTATTGTCCTGAACTCTAGAGTCAAGCGTATCAGTCACTCACACAAAGGAGTCATTGTATCATACCAAACTGGACAACAGTCCTCTCTTACTGATCTTCAGGCTGATGTTGTCCTAGTAACAACCACAACAAAAGCAGTTCTATTTATGGATTTCATCCCACCTCTGTCCCCCAAAAAGATGGAGGCACTGAGGGCTGTCCATTATGACAGCTCTACTAAGATCCTCCTCACCTTTAACAACAAGTTCTGGGAGAACGATGGTATCCGAGGAGGAAAGAGCATCACAGACGGGCCTACTCGTTTTATCTACTATCCCGGCCACAGTTTCCAAAAAAATAAAACCATCGGTGTCCTCCTGGCTTCCTACACCTGGGGTGATGATTCACTACTCTTCCTAGGTGCAAGTGATGAAGCCCTCAAAGAGCTGGCTCTGAGCGATTTGGCAAAGATTCACGGTGAGCAGGTCTGGGATTTCTGCACTGGGGTGGTGGTGAAAAAGTGGAGCATGGATCCTTACAGCCTTGGTGCCTTCGCTCTGTTCACCCCCTACCAACACTTAGAGTACGCAAAGGAGCTCTTTAAAAGTGAAGGCAGGGTCCACTTTGCTGGTGAACACACAGCCTTCCCTCATGCTTGGATTGAGACGTCCATGAAATCTGCAATAAGAGCAGCGAAAAACATTAACAGAGCTGTGCTGCTGAATTCAGAGTCAGCTAAATGTCGAAAAAGAGATGAACTCTAGGGTCTGACATATTTAGTCTTCAACAATCTTCAAAAGAAGGATCCTTAAACCACTTATCTACTTAT